GTGATGAACTGGAATATTGGGAAAAAATGAAATTAGTTTATATGAAAAGTTACATGTTACAGTTGAAGCAATTATTCAAGTAGAAACTTATCTCTGTGATAGTTTTTACTTTTCTTAATTTTGTAGGTTAAAAAAAGGCTAACTTTCAATGAACCATATAACTCAGGTACTTAAAATAAAATGCAAATCTAAGCTGTGTGATAATCGTGTTAAAAGTTGATAGATCTGGCCCTCACTTCCTAGCAATGTGACTCTGGAGACTTACCATCTAGGCCACTGTCAAACTGTGAAAATAATACCTTAGAACATAGAGTTGTAGTCTTCTTGTTCCACAAACATTGTTTGAGGGATTTGTCCCTGTTATTAACCATATCAGAAAATCATTTCAATGGTTGCAATAGTCCATTTACTAAAAGTTCTAAACCACTATTTATCTTATTACCCTCTTTTTGGATATTTAGATTATTTTATTCTTATCTCACTGTTCTAATTTAGGTTTTGCTGTGAACCTCAACCTTTTGATGTTGCAGAAGTTCTAGTAGCCTATTCACTTAACCCCTCTCTTAGATGTTTGCATACCCTCTATTCCTCTCATCTCTTGTCATACCTTCAGACCTCTTCTCCATTTTGACCCTCAGATTGTTGACCTATGCTGGAAAAAAAATCAATGACAAGAAAATGTCCCAAGCAGCTACAATCACATCTACTCCCTGTTTGTATCTCTGCCTGTACACCCTGCCTCCCTTCTGTTACTTTGCATAAACAGCCTGTGCTTTCATTGAAGGGCATCACTTCCACTTGTACACCTGCTCAAATACATCACTCCAATTTTTTTTCTTTGTCCTCGATACTATTTTTTTCCCTCTTGACTAAATTATCTTAAGAGCATACAAGTGTTCTATTTCTCCCATCTTAAAAAATGGGGGGGGGGTCCTCAATAACACATCATTATCTGTTCTCCTTTAGAGGAAAACTTCAACTGTTTTTTAAATAAGCTGTCTTTAGTTTCTTCCTTCTCATTTTCTCTTGCATCCAGTCCAATCAGGATTTCACCCCATATGCCACCAAAACTTCCTCAAGGTTATCACTATCTCCACATTGTTCAAAGCCAATAATAAATTCTCCATCCTCATCTTATCTAAAAGGCCAGCAGTACCTAATATGGCTGATGATGATCTCCTTGATACACTCTCTTCATTTGGCATCAACGATTGCTTGTTCTCTGCTTTCTGTCCTATTTTACTATCTGCTCCTTCTCATTTCACTTTGCTGGTTTTACAATATCTACATGACCTCCAACAACTGAAAATCCTCAAGTCTCAGTTCTAGAATCATTGATTGGCTGCCTCCTGCACACCCCACACTGGGGATCGAGCCCGCAACCCAGGCATGTGCCCTTGGCCGGAATCGAACCCGGGACCCTTCAATCCACAGGCTGATGTTCCATCTACTGAGCCAACCCGGCTAGGGCTGAAAACTATTTCTGACATGAGTATCTTCCCTCCCAAACTGGCAAGGCTACTGGTGTCTCTGAGGGGGAAAGTTAAAAAAACCACAGCAAACACATGGGTTTTACAATTGTCACAAATGGTAAACCACCTTTCTGCTATTTAAGAAAAGCTTTGAATGTTCAATGAATTGTTTTGGCTAATGACAATTGATGCAAAGAATATAACAATAATCTAAAAAAAAAACCAGAATTGCCTTTTTGGCCATTTGGGTAGAAATTTCTGATAACATCAGTGCACGTAACTGGGCTGTAGCTTGGGCTGAGGAGTTATTTTACCTTTTATTTGCAAATAAGACAGTATTCTTTTCCCCTCAGGGAGTACCTAGATCACTTATTAATAGAAGAGCACTGATACCCTTTGCCCATGGTGGTGAAATTGGCAGAGGCAGTCCTAGGATCCTGACCATATGGGTCTTAGCATTTGGAGGAGGACATTTGAGGAGGACAGCATTCTGTAGTTGAAGATGCCTAGATCTAAAGCCAGACACTTGGATAGAGTCCTGGCTGCAGACTATCAACTGTCACGAATTGAGCTGTCCATACCAAGTTCTCACCAAGACTTTTACAGTCTGGCTCCAGGGTTCCTCCGCAGAGCTATTTTTATAGTCTTTACTCTTCACTTGCTCCATTCCAGCCCCAGCACCATTTCTCACACATTCCAGAGACAGGCTCTTGTTGCCAGGCTTTCTGTACTGCTATTCCCTCTGCCCGGAATGCTCTTCCCCCAGACGCAAGCTTACTTTTTTTTTTTTTTTTTTTAGCAGATCCAATATGTTCCACAGTATTATAAATACTTCACATGTTTACTTGGTGAATTCTGATAGTAACTGTCGGGCGTGGGCAGTGCCATTGGATGGATGGGAATAAATGGGGGCACAGTGATAAGTCAGAGGCAGGACTAGAACTAAGGCAGTTCAGGTGGGAGCCAAGGCTTGATTCGTACAGTTTAACACAGTGGTTCTCAACCTGTGGGTCGCGACCCCTTTGGGGGGTCGAACGACCCTTTCACAGGGGTCGCCTAAAACCATCGGAAAACACATATATAATTACATATTGCTTTTGTGATTAATCACTATGCTTTAATTATGTTCAATTTGTAACAATGAAATTGGGGGTCACCACAACATGAGGAGCTGTATTAAAGGGTCGTGGCATTAGGAAGGTTGAGAACCACTGGTCTAACACCAGGACATGGTTTACGCTCTTCCTTTATCCCCAGAGCTCCTCCTTGGAGAGTGTTTCTGACTCCCCGATTAAAGGAGGAATCCCTGGGCCGCTTACTCAGCTGTATAGGTTGTAGCAGCACTAAATGTCACCTGACCTTATAGTGCCTACTTCCTTGCTTATCCCTTTGTCTATCTCATCCCCTAGAATGCACACTCTACGAGGGAAGGGCCTTGTCCTGATCAGTGTATCCCCACATCCCCTGCACCCAGAAATGGACTGAAGTGGACTGGAATAAGGATGGGAGTGATGTTAGAACAATCATGTCTAAGTGTCTCATTCATCAAACCTGTACGGAGTGTCCATTTTATGCCAGACACCACACCAGTTTTGGAAATATGAAAGTGAACCAGAGTGATGGGAACTCCCACTTCCCTGGTTTTGTGATGCTTTCAGAACACCTCAGAAGCAACATGCAATTAACAGGCAGTTCCACGAGATAAGCACAATATTACGGCAAATACAAGGGGCAGGGGGGAAGCAAGGATTCAGTGAAAGCTACTGTGAGGGGCTGTTACCTATGCTGAGACCTAAAGGGTGGGCTGAAGGATAAGGGCTGTGGAAGTGGGTTTGGGAGAACAGGAGGCCCTGAGAGAACACCTTCCAGTTCTAAAAACTGTTGAGCGGGATTTGAGTATAGAAGGTAAGGGGAAGGATTTACCTGGAGAAGGAAGCTTGAGTCAGGACTCTATTGCCCCAGCAAGGAGATGAAATTTTAAACCAATGGGATTTTTTTACTCAGTATCTGATTCTGTGTACCACCTTCAGCCAGGCAAGTTGGCAATATTTCCATTTTCCAGATGGGACAACTGAGGCCCAGAATAACACATTTAAACATCAGCCGAGCTGGTTGCATTTCCTTCATGACAGGGCTCTCAGGGCTCCTACCCCCTTCTCTCCCACCCTCTCTCCTTCCTTCCTTCCTGCTGATTGTTGTTCTTGTCCAAAGTCAAACATGAAATGATTTACTCGCCACCCTTATCTTTCTCCAAGGAGCATGCATGTACTCACACAGCTTCCAGAAACCAGACCCCTGAGCGGAAGCTGATGGCCTCAGGATGGTGGGACTCGAACATGGATGAACACAATATTGTGCATTGGCCCCAAAGTCTCTGTTCTTGACCAGCGAGTTAGATTTGTACCAGGAACTTTCTCTCTGAAAAGGTGACTCAGGGCTGGGGAGTCCAGAGCCGACTTGAAAAAGTGGAGAGCGGCTCAGTATTGGCCTGCCCGGCGCTTTGGGCATGCGTGAGCACTCATAGCAAACACAGCTGGCGAGGCTAAAATTAGCCTCGCCAGCCTTGAAAAGAGACCCTTTAAGGAAATATATTTTCTCGGAAACAATTTGTATTATAATGCAGCAGCTGATCGACATGTTACTTACATGTCGAATATTACTTACTATTGGTGGGGGAAAACTCTGCCAAGTAATTATGATTTTCGTTCTTTTTCTGTGTGTGATATCAGTGCAGCAATTAGAACATCCATGATCAAGATCATCATAACGAGGTAGACAATGAGCGGACAGGTGTTGGTGTTTTTATTTATAAAGAAGTTCAAAAACCTGGCGGAACACCTCTTTTTGATATTTCCAAATGGGCTCTGATGCTAAGAATGACTGTTTCTGCTATAAGTTGGTCACTGTGATCTGTGATGTGTGGCTTGTTAACAGTAGAGTTCTGGTGTAGACTCCAAATTTCCTCAACACTTGGCATCCCCCATGACCTCCAAGAAGTAAAATGTTAGTTTCTAAAGTGTTCATTTCTAAAATGTTAGATTCATCTGGCTTCAGGGTGTTCACGGGGTTTTGAAAGCATCCGGAGACACACTTTTTGCATTTTAACCAGCTAGGTTAGTCCCTCTTCCTGGATTTTTCCCCCCCTTTCTCCCTCCTTCCTCCCTTGCCCCCGCCTCCCTCCCGAGGTCCGCACTGTTTTGTTTAGCCGGGTGGCTTACCTTTAAACTTGGCACGAAAAGGAAAGAAGGCAGCTCGTCTGTGGAGCCGATGGAGGGAAGGATCAGAAACAATCCACCGCCCGCAGCTGAGTCCCCCGGTTCAGTTCCAGCGGCAGCAGCTTCGCTGCAAAAATCGCTTTGCTATTCGAGATAGCCAGCAGAGGGAATCGGAACTTTGCTTGCAGCAGGGGTTGAAGCAGCCTTTTTTTTTTTTTCTTGGAGGAAATACTGCAGCCTTCTGGACTGCGTACGCCGCTCCCTGGAGAGGCTCTCTCGGTTCCACCCACCGGCTGGAAGGAGGGGAAGTGAATGAAAGGACAGGACAAGCCCGGATCACCATGTCACTCTGGGAGGGAGACAGCAGCAACTAAGCTGTGCAAGGTTTTTTTTTTTTTTTTTTCCTTTTTTCTTTTCCCCTTTCTTTTTCTTTCTGTTCCCTCCCTGTTTTCTTTTTTCTTCTTTCTTTCTCTTTCTTTCTTTTTCCTCTTGATTTGCTTTTGCTTTAAGGTGAGGAAAGAGACAAACAGGAGACAGGAAGCTGATCTGCAAGGATTCGGAGTTATGCTGAAAGGACTTTGATTTTTTTTTTCCTTTCCCCCTTTTACAAACGCTGGCAATTGACATCAATACAGGCAGCCTGGTAGAGAACAAACTGTCTCATCCCAAGTGGACCCCGGCAGCTGGGAGAAGGCAGACAAGATCTGGGGAAGCTGTGTGTGGGGTTTGATTTTTTCCCACCGATCCCCGTCTCCTATTTTTTTTTTTTTTTGGTGTGTTTTTTTTTTTTTTTTATTATATTCTTGCTGTGTTGGAACTAGCGAGTGGTGGAAGACGAGCAATCTCCGAAGCCTCATCAGTCATCGGGACTGTCAGGAATAGTGGCTTAAGAGGAAGCTCGGCCTGGGGCACTATACCCTGTCATCCAGTTCCCTGCCTCGGAGATAAAGATTCCAGCTACATGGGCAAACGCCTGGATCAGCCACAAATGTACCCCCAGTACACTTACTACTATCCTCATTATCTCCAAACCAAGGTATGGCTCTGACCCAGTCTGGCAGTCAGTGTGGTATCTATCCTTCTGCACTTGGCTAGGAAACAGGCAGGCATGTGAATTAGTATTTACCTCCCCCTCCCTCCCATCACCTCTTCCTGCTTCTTTGAAATTAGTAACATACCCACGGAGTTAATAAGGCAGCGGAGAATATAGGAAGAGAGCAAGCCCGGAATCCCGGCTTTCTCTTTAAGGAGAGCTCATAGTTTCACGGGAGTTCTTTTGTTGTTATTTGGCAGCATAAACGTTCCTGGTATCTGTAAAGTCCTTTGCAGATGGGCAGGGTTGTTAGAAAGGAGATCCTACCGGTGATTATCAGGCACGAGAATACAATTTCAGGGGCTTTGCTGGTGAGCTGTTCTTTGTTTGTGACTCTGAGAGGGTTTTTCCCACTGGATAGGACACGCCAGGGTGGGGGGAACTCAAACTTTTAATCGCTGAATGTAGAATAAAAGAAGGGCGTGGAAGGTAGATGGCAGTGAACTAAAGTCTCTTGGAGTTTGTTTGGGTGTATCTTATTTTATTTTATTTGCCTTACACGTTTTGTTTCCTATGGGGGGGTGATCAGGATGCTACAGACTGAATTGTGGAGCTTTGCCAGAGATGTTCTTGACTTTTAGAAGCTCCGTTTGCCTGTGTTAGCTGCCACCAGAAGGCCTGGGGCTTGGAATGGGCTGAAATGTAACTGATGGTAATTGGACGTGAATTGGTTAAATACTTCAGGCTTTATGTGTGTGCTCAAATGATCATTAGGGGGCCAGTGGGAAGCCCACGTAACTAAGCAGTGGGCAGTGCCAACCATGAACTTTCTCCTGCAGTTCACACATGAAGGACTCTCAGGTGTGATATCCCTGCTCCAATTTGTCAAATAGATTGGACTTGATTTGGAGAGGGGGGGGCGGCGGGGGGGATGTTGGTAGCCTGCCCACCTTGAATGCATGGATTCTATTTCTTGAGGGATGATATTATTTTGTATCGCATTCGCCAGACTCCACAGTCTTCTTCATGGATAAATATGCGGAGAGTGAGCAAGGCGTGCCTGAGTGATCCGTGCTGTCACCAGGACTCCTTGGCGTGATTAGGCTTTGCTAATTCATGCCGTAGTTATCGCTCATTTATTCTGTCTCAGCAAACAATGCCTGTTTGTGAGCCAGAGCAGGCAGCAGACTTTCAATATTATATTAAAGATTGTTGCCTTTTTGCCTCTCCTTTTCCATCGCTCCAGGATTCGCCCTGCCCCTCCAAGGTCGACTCACGTTGCTTTTTGCCTTTGTGAGCATTTAGTTTGTGCTGCTGCTGCTGCTGCTTAAAGAGACCAGCCCAGTGCCTTGAGTTTTAACTCTTTGGGGATTGGGAGGAGAATGCTGCCCGCCTTTCTTGAGGAAATGGCTAAGCAAGGACAAGTTTAAAAAAAAAGGGGGGGGGGATTTGTAGTCATTTCTCATCCCCCCCAAAGAAACAAAAACAACAAACTCAAGGGGTTGGCATGAAAAATATCTGACATTCCATCCCTTTTACTCATGTGGCTAAATTTTTCCAAATGTTTCAAAATTCACGCTCTTCTTTTGGGTCCTTGTTTTCTACTAGGAAGTGTATTCAGAAAAGAAAAAGTTTAGATCGAAATGAATGGAAGAGTTGCTTTTCTGCTTGGGATTTCTTTTAACCTATTAGTAGCAGGAAATAATGTCATACGCATTATATGAAAGATACAGGATGCTCCATGAGCCACGCTGGTGGAAAGTGTGTGTGTGTGTGTGTGTGTGTGAGAGAGAGAGAGAGAGAGAGAGAGAGAGATTGGGGTAAAGGAGAAAGTGGAGTGGTGAGGGAAGAGAGGAGAGCTGTTTTGGGGTCCTATGTAGTTTAGTGTTATGTAGACAGGCGACATCTGGATCTTGTTACTTTCAAGCCAGTCAAAGCCATCAACTTCTGGAACATTTTTAAAGAAGTTAGATCCATTAGGCGACCTAAGCTGATATTTGAGGTAATCAGATCAGGGTGGTAGGGAATATCAGATCAGCTACTTTGGCTATCACGGTAGTTCACATTGATGATTATGTTGTAAAATTTCGACAGTGCTGTGAAGTTGTCGAATGTTGTTACGGAGGCTCTGAAATGACAGGCATTAATAACATCCCTGGAAGCTGAAGAAGTAAAAACGTGCCCTGTTTTGAAACTTGGACACACGAGGAATGGGAGGAAGGGTCAATGTGCAGTTGCACTTTAAAAATGGAGATTTTTCTGCCAGCGTGAATACTATATAAAAAAGTACTCTCATGCCCCAGGATAGCATAAAACTACTGGGTTATTTCAATATCAGTTTTTGCCCTTTTCACACTTATATCTCAAAATATAACCTATAATAATTTTGAAGGACCTACATGCTGCTCTATTTATTTGTAAGTCTGGGTGAAATTCACAAAATCCTCTGTGTTCTAGACTTGGCTTATAGTTCTAATCCTATTTTGAAATCATAGCTATTTAAAATGGTGCTTCTATATGCAGAACACTTACGGTTCATAGAATTAGAATTCTGTGGTTGACAACAAAGATTATACATACTCTGGTGATATCAGAACTTCAACTGTTCTTTAAATTCAGGTGTTTTTCACTAATCCACAAAAGCTGTTTGTGGACATTAGTTTTGGTGGAAAATCTTCATGGGATTTTAAAGAACTAAAATGCTTATTGTGTTCATTCAGAAAATGCAAAAATGCTGAACCTTCTCTTTTTTTTTACTTAAATATGTGTGTTAGATATAGTTGCTATTTTCTTGTGATGAAACAAAATGAAAATGGGATTTTTAAATAAATGCAAATGGTTTCCATTTCCTCAAATGTAATTAAGGTTTTTAAAAAATTGTGACATTTTCCTGCCTTCCCTGCTCCTACTTTCCATTACATTAAAACCAATCTCTTAACTTTGTTGCTTAACTTTTTAAAAATAGAAATAAGATATTTATGCTTTTGCCCATTTAAATAATTTTCCAGGTGCTTAAAATGTTATATTAGAAAAATTTACGTGTAAGTTAAATAAAATTAAAACCTAAGTGGCTGACTTATAGCAATATTCTTAGCTTACTCTCCCAGACCTCACATTAAAAGTTGCCCTTTGTAAATTTTCTTTTTGATCAAATTCTTTCCTACCAAGAAGAGCAAGTTTGGAAAAGAATATTGCTTTTGATTAAGGAGTAATGAAGAAATCTTGGTGACATGTCATAATATTTAAATAAGAGACATAACTGGATTAAAAAGCATGAGTTTCATCAAAAGAAATTTGCTATGGGGAATCCACCCAGAATAATCAGCAGATTTTAGAGAAAGGGGACCAAAAAAATTTGTTCATTAGCTAAGTGATAATTTACATAATGATGTTTGATTGAGTTGTAACCTAATATATCTCAGGAATTTTGTCACAGCCCATTCAAAGCAACCGACCTGTTGCTATTGCATTTTGAGATCCAGAGTGAATTTCAGTCTGAATTCGAGGTCTTTTCTGTGTGTGGTGGTGGGGCAGGGGGTGTTCTTGGAAAAACAAACTGGAAAAGCTAAAAAGGGTAAAACATGGTCACAGCCTAGTACATTGATATGTTGCAGATGACAAATAGCTATTTCTCTCCTATGCATGTGATATTTGGGAAACTTCAGTCATCTTCAAAAAACTTGAAGATTTGCATAAGCACACTCAGCAAGGCTGGTCTTTCTGCCTTTTCTACACCCTCACCAGTTCACTCTGTCTCTTCACGTGCAGGACACCCTTTCTAATCACATTGCTCTTACATCAGTCTACTGCCTTCCCATCTGCTTCCCGGGAAGATCTTGAAGCAGAGGTGCAGACTACGTACGGTTTCTCTGGCGGGTGATACTCAGATTGTGTTCAGAACCTGGTGTGAAGTTGGGGTCAGGTATAAGAAGTCATTCATCAACTGCACACTGATTCCAGGCTGAGTTTCCAACCATCTGCAGCCTGGATTGCCGCCCTTGTCTGCAAGTCTAGCTGGAGCCCAATGGATTGTGCCATAGAAAGAGCAAACACTTGAGAACACAGGGCTGAGGAGCAGCACAGGAAGAGAGAGGCTCCTGGGGGCAAAGGCTGTTCTTAAAGATGTGAATGTACAGATCCTTCAACAACAGAACAACTCTTAACACACTCCTTGCACATGAAAATGTAGAAAATCTTGCCGAGGGAGGGAATGAGTTTAGAATTTCCTTAGTACTTCCTGCCCAGATTTGCATTGATAGCCAGAGTTGGGAACTTGCCAGTTTTAAAACAGCCTTGAAAACTCCCAAGTTCTGTTTCTCCCTTTGAAAGGCTGAAACATACAAAACTGGTTTTCTAAAAATCTTTCAGCAATTGAAATTTTAGGTACGACTCCAAATATTTCTTTCGCTCCAGGGGTGTAAGATGATAGCCTGCAACTATGATAAATCTTGTTTGTCTCATTTTAGAATGTATACGATGTTAATTGTTTTTAATAAGAGAAAAATCGTTATTTTTCTTCTTTATCCCCCCCCCCCAATCTTTATTATCATTGGGATTTTCTTATCTTTTCTGTAATGTGGTCATTGTTTTCACAACACTAAGTTTAGTGCCTGCTTAAAAGGAGTAGAAGTGTAAAAAGTTCATGTTTTTTTTTATATGCAGAATAATTCCAAACTTAAAGGAAAAAACCATGTATGTTTCTTTTAATAGTATCTTTCTAACGCATTTTCCTTTCAGATTCTCTGAATTTGGAAAAAGAATAACTGAATTATAACTCGGTATTATTTCCATGAAGTAATGAAATCTATTTGAGGGGTGGCGGTTGGGGGGCGATGTGTAGGGAAGGAGGCAAAAGAAGAGAAGGGAGGATGTTAAGTTCATCCCAGGTCTCTCTGGCTCCAGCAATTCTGGCATGCTTCATTTTTGCACTAATATGATTTTACACAATTCTCTCTGACATTATCAGTCTTTTTGGCAGAGAGAGGGCTCAGTCACAATTATGT